TACTGAGAGATGACTGTAGTGACCGAGATTGGTGGTGTGATGAGCGTTGAGTGGTAAGTGGTGAGTAGTTAGCAGTGAGTGGTAACCAGTGAGTGGTGACTAGTGAGTGGTGACCAGTGAGTGGTGACCAGTGAGTGGTGACCAGTGAGTGGTGACCAGTGAGTGGTGACGAGTGAGTGGTGACCAGTGAGCGGTGAGTGGTGAGCGGTGTTAGATGAGCATTGAGCGGTGAGCAGTACCTGCCGCCGAGCATGACGCCGTTCATCTGCTCGAGGCTGAGCTGCGCGGCCTCGGGGATCTCGTACTCGACGAAAGCGAAGCCCTTGTGCTTCTGAGTGACGGGGTCCCAGGACATGTTGATGGACTTGATGGGCCCGAACGGCAGGAACGCCTGCCGGATCGTGTCCTCCTTCAACTCAAACGATATAGATCCCACGTACACTCTGTTTAAAAATATTATAACGCTTACTGCACTGCAACAGACACATGTGTATGACATGGAGTTAAATATCTGACGCCATCAGATCTTTTCAGCTATTTTAGTGTTCACGGGCTCGACCTGCCGCAGCGGGAGCCTCCAGGTATCGCTGTCATCACTTGACGCGGCGGAGCGGGGGCGGGGGCGGTGTCGGGGGCGGGGGCGTACCTGCACATGAGGGCGAGGGCCTGTTGGCGCTGCACTTGCGTGCGCTGCGAGGCCATCTGCTGCTGCTGGTGCGCGAGTGTCTGCTTCATGAGCACCATCTTGATGCTCTGCTCCATGGCGTACTTCTTGGCGCGCGACACCGCGTCCGCCTGCTCCGAGGTGAGCCGCGGCAGCGACCCGCCCAGGATGGCCGGCAGCGTGGAGCACTTGGCGCCCGGACCTGCACCACACCACATAACATGGATGAATATTTATAAAGTGCATAAAGCCGAGGTTAAAGGCGGATCAAGGATGTCCTCGCGAGTAAAGGAAACATACCTGTGTAAACATCTCCGACTTGCTGCAGGTCGTAGACCGGCGCGGCGAGGAAGGCACCTGCAAAGCAAGGATCAGTTCAGGTGGAGTGGGGGGTGAGTGCCGGAATGCAGGGGGCGCTCGCACTCCCGCTAGCACGCCGCGCTCGCCGCGCTCCGCCGCTCAGCCAGCTCGCACCTCGCAACATCCGCGCACCTCGCTCACTCTCACTCATCCGACATTCCAAGGCGGAGCCCATTCACACGGCACTCAAGCGGGGACGATGTGGAATAAATAAGTAGGTACATTGTGCGTGCGAAGAGACGCCGCGTGGCCGCGCAGGAGCATCGCGGCTGACGCAAAAGCGTACCAAAAACCTAACTTATATCTAGCCTGTAACAGAAAGCAGAACACTGATCACTGAGAGCGGTCGAGAGTGCGGAGGTCACGTCGCCGCCGCGCCCGGCGCCGCCCGCCCGCGCCCTGCAACAGCGAGCACACGCCGGCGTTAGAGCGTCGCACACACACTCCGCCACCGCCCTCGCCGCACCACATAGCCCCCGCGCCCCACCGCGCCTATTGCGCCCACCGCCTACTCACCCGGGCCCAGCGCCGCCGCAGCACCTCCGCCGCCCTGCAACTGAGACAGCCATTGTCACGCTATGATCATACCGAGCACATCTTGTCAACTCTCCACACCCACTTCTTTGTGCTAAAGTAATGCATTCCTACACCAAGGAACCTTGGCTTCAATGGCCAAAGATATTAAACAATACAGTAGTTTGCTTTGCTTAATACTTCCTTTTTACCATGAAGACGCTACATTTATTGCATTTTTATAACATTTAATCCTAAGCTCATGATTTTTAGAATATTACTTGATTTGGCGATTATTAGTTCTAGAATAATTTTAAATGACATATAGCTATAGTCTGCAATTGCTAAAATTTAAAGCAATTACCGCACTTGCATATTTTGCAATTTGTTTGTATCTAATCTAAACTGTCATAACCATGATTGTTCAAAGTCAATAAATGAATATGATGCATCTGTCTGTTATTTATATTACCTGTTGTCAGAAAGATAGAGAAAAAACAACAATTGATGATAAAATATCACTAAAACTGGGGGTTCCTAATTTTACATTTGGATATACAGTCAAACCTGGTTAAGCAAGAGGCCAAGGGAACGCAACATTTTTTTCGGTCTTGTACAGGTTTCTCTTAAACCTGCGTTTCTTGCTTATGGGAGTTGTCTGTTGGGACTAGATAATGACTCGTCCTTATAAAGGTAACTTGCTTATCCAGGTTATATTATAGTCTCTTCGAATTGTGGGAACACTAAAATTTGTGTGAGCATTCACAGTAGTGTGGATACGTATGGGCTAAGTGAGAGTCTACCATCCTTCAACTACTTTGTATACCAACGTTGGAGAGATTGTGGTCTAGCAATAGTTTTATAGTATAACAGGTGCATGACCTGCTAGTATGAAAACTCTTAATTTTCTTTGATATTAGCACTCATATTCAATTAAATTTTGGTCATGAAAGCGATAGGAGCTCTCGGAAGTTACATGTGCATTTTATTTGAAACTAACTGCTGTACTAGAGGCTTATTTTTTGTTTTTGTTAAAGTGTTTCGCTTTTTTATACTGTTGACATGTGACACCAATAGTTTCATACTGAATAAGTAAAACAGTCACGCTTGAATTAACATGACATGCGTGGCTGTGGCTTCGCTTTCGAAATGTCAAACAGTGTACGAACTATAACCTAAAAACCCGTTATAAAATAACTTAATACATTACATAACTTATTTTTTGAGTTACTCTTTAGAGTATGCACACAAAATAAACACTGCATATTTAACTTTGTTTTTCTACTAAAAAAAGAAAGAAGTTACAACAGCTACTCACCAACTCCATAATTGCTTACGCCAAGATACTTATTTCTAAGTATATGAAGGTGTTTGTCTTGAAAAAAGAAACTGAAACAGAATTCTGAGTTAGTTGTAGATATTAGATTTATATCACTGGTACAAATTACGAGCGGCGTTAATTCTAGTCACTAATCACAAACGCACGACACAGACACAAACGTCAAGTCAAAGCAAAGTCAAACGTTTTATTTTTTTAATTTTATGACCTGGTAACATAGTCCTTTAGGTCATATCTTATTTGGAAAATGTTCATTACTTTGGATTCACTTCACTTCACTTCACTAAAATTCGTCGTTTAAATTTTTTGAATTGTATTTTTTATATAATTATAAATGGGTTTATAAGATGTTGGTTCCCGTAGTAAAATGTTAAGTGGCGGTGGGCGGGAGGAAGAAACAAAAGTAAACGCATTGGCAATCGAAAATAATATGGTGGATAGTTCCTTCTGCTTGACAGTGTGTACATTGGTTGTTTGTTGTAATGCCTAGTTTAGCTAGGTGTGACGGCACAGTATTATGACCAAATCTCAATCTGCTTATTGTTTAGTCAAATGCAAGTCAAACGGTCGAAAGCCAAAATCAAAGAGTAAAAGATCACAGTGTTGCAAAGAGCGTGTAATGCTATGTCGCTTATGTTTTAGTCCAACGCGGATCTTGTGGCACTCGGCAATTTTACAAAAATGAAATTATTGAAATATAAAAAGGTACAAATTCTCTGACAATCAGAATTCTTCCGAGGAATAAAATGTAAATAAATAACGAAACCTACAAAAACATGTTAGAATTTGAAAAAAACTTTCTCATTATTCCTTGTATTACTTGCAGTTAGCACATAATAAATATTTAAGCGTGTAATGAAATAGCGCGACTATTTGTATTTTTATAGAATAATATAAATTTATTGAATAATATAAAATAGCGAAACGGCCGCTGCCTAAAGCCAAAAAGCTGACGATAGCCCAATTTAAATAGACAGGGCCTTCCCTGTACAAAAAGCAAAAAAAGGATATTTCTCCTTCAAATACGACTCTACGACTTCAATTACGATTGCCTATAATAGGCTAATAAGCTTTGGCGAGTACACTCATCAGTCGAAACGCGGAACGTTTTACACTTTGTGCATCTGCTAATGCTGCTGCGGGTATTACCGGTGTTTAATGTACTTGTATGTATATTGAATGCTTTTTAAAAAACGTATTCAAAATAAAGTATTCTAATGATTCCATTTGTTAAAGTGAATCTTCTGTCCGTAGTCCGTTGTTTAATTTCTTTCAAACACAAAAGGTGCACAATATGAAAGTCGGTGTTGTATTCCGATCCCGCCTCCATTGTATCCTTTCCTACTAATATCTTCTGAGCCCAAGCGCGTTTTTGTCTTTGCTTGAAAGCAACTATTGTCATTTTAATGAAAATAAACTGTTAACAAAATATTTTACTTATTATTCTTATTTTCTTTTACAAGAGAATGTGGCAAACTAGCAGCGAGAATCTGCAATACCAGAAGAACCGCCTTTGCCTTGCCGGCCTTTGAGATGGTGGTACGCTCACTTCTTGTGTGAAACATTATAAGCGAGTCAAGATCAGTGGCCTAATAGTATTATAACAACAACATCTGTTGTACGAATGATTAACATTTGGACGTTGGAGTTAATGTTGAAAAAAGTACTGAGTGCTCTTAGCACAGCGTTGATTTGTAGACGATAGAGGCGGCGGCGGCGCAGCTGAGGTGCGGCGGCTGCAGCCATCTACTCATTTCATATCAACATTCGATAAAGTTAAATGAAATCGCGGGACAAAGACTAAGCCGAGGACTCGAAGTGGTAACAAACTTTAATTAAACTTAAACTCTGCGACACCGAGAGAGATAATCTGGCCAACTATTACACCCGCCTCTGCAATTATTCAAACTTTAATGGATTTAAACATCCTCTTGGGATGTCCCTTATTAAACAATGTTCTGTCCTGACGCCGGCCTATTCCGCGGGCGAATTCATTGCGATTAATCCATCATAACTTATCCAGCTAACTAGAAATAAATATTATCTTCTTCGACTTTTAAAATATTAAACTGAAAAAAGGAAACTGTTTTATTTATTTTATACGAATACACATCTACGTTAATGTCAATAAATCTAAATTATTAAGATTAATAAACAATAAAAACATAAGAAAGGTTGTTAGAGCTCGTGTCTATTGGTCAGGTTGCGATTGGTTGGTTGCAACAATAATTGAGTAGAAGAGAAGATGGCGTGGCTCGCAATCGTACAACACCGGCCACCGGCTCATCGATAGCGATAACTGAAGCCCACGCGTATGCGCACGTAAACAAACTCTAGTTGCGCACGCGCACGACAGTCGCAGTCGCAGTTGACGCGCACTCGTGGTTGCACGTGCCGCTGTCCTCCGGACGTCTGTTTTCGCTTTTCGCTGCGGGTTGTGTGGCGCTTTGCCGCTTGCTATGGGATAATTGTGAGTAAAAATTTATATGAACAAAGTTATCACTATAAAAAGAAATCATTGTAAAGCCACCTGATAAAGATTGTATTACATTATCGGTGTCGAGTGGCGGATGTCTTCATAAATTGAGAACTGGTTTCCGTAAAATTATCGTGATACATATTAAAATTCATTGGCACGCACACACAAAATTGAACAGATAATTATAACGTCATTTTCTAAGGTAACTTTCTGCACATAACCTCATTATTGAGTATAGCTAGAATACGACTACTATGGTATAGAAAGTGGATTCATATTTTACATATATGTATTCCATATTTAAGCGAAAGACGATGGAGATGGGATAATCTACGCAATATGTTAACATTATGGACAGTTTTTTTTTTAAATTTCAACACATTAGAATGTTATTTTAGGAGAGCACGAGTACGATGTTTGCGACCGTGGTGTGCGCGCTGACCGCGCTGGTCGCGCTGTGCCTGTACGGGAGCCGCGCCCACGGCTACTGGCGGCGGCGCGGCGTGCGTCACGTGCGCCCGTTGCCCTTCCTCGGCACCTATGGTAGTGTTTACTTGATGCAGAAGAGCACCACTCAAGTCGCCACCGACGTCTACTGTAGATTCCCCGAAGAGAAAGTCGTGGGTCAGTTTTGGGCGAGCAAGCCACAGCTTCTCATTAGAGATCCAGAAATCGTCAAACGAGTTCTCACGACAGACTTCGCTCATTTTTACCCTCGCGGACTGAATCCCCATAAAGAGGTTATCGAGCCACTTCTACGCAATCTATTCTTCGCTGACGGCGACCTCTGGCGTCTACTTCGGCAGCGAATGACGCCGGCGTTCACGAGCGGCAAGCTGAAGGCTATGTTCCCTCTTATAGTGGAGCGCGCGGAGCGACTGCAGGCCCGCGCATTGGCCGCAGCGCACGCCGGCCGCGAGCTGGACGCGCGCGACCTCATGGCGCGCTACACCACAGACTTCATCGGCGCCTGCGGTTTCGGGCTCGATGCGGACTCGCTCAATGACGAGAATTCGGCATTCCGGAAACTAGGTGCCCAAATATTTTCCTTCGGAGCCAAAGAAGTTTTCGTGGCAATGTTGAAGGAGGTGTTTCCTGATATGTGTAAACACATGAAATACTTGTCCCGAGTCGAAAGCGAAATTATGAATCTGGTTAAAAGCGTTCTCAAAAGTAGAAATTATGAACCTTCGGGAAGGAACGACTTCATAGATCTACTACTGGAGTGCCGGCAGAAGGGCACGATGGTGGGCGAATCGATCGAGCGCGTGAGGGCGGATGGCAGCGCCGCGCGCGCCGAGCTCGACCTCAGCGATGAGCTAATAGCGGCGCAGGTGTTCGTTTTCTTCGCGGCGGGCTTCGAGACCTCCTCGTCGGCGACCAGCTTCACGCTGCACCAGCTCGCCTACCATCCGCAGGTGCAGCGGAAGGTGCAGGAGGACATAGACGCGGTTCTCAGTAAATATGATAACAAATTGTGTTATGACGCAGTGAAGGAGATGACGTACCTCGAGTGGACTTTCAAGGAGTCTATGAGAATGTTTCCGTCCCTCGGTTTTTTGATAAGAGAATGCGCGAAAAAATTCACATTTCCCGAAATCGACTTGACCATCGACGAAGGAGTCGTGGTGATGATTCCCGTGCAGGCGCTGCATAATGATGCCAAATATTTTCGTAATCCGGAACAATTTAGACCGGAACGATTCAGCCCGGAGGAGTTTCAATCTGTAGAAAAATTCGTGTACCTACCGTTTGGGGCGGGACCGCGAGCTTGTATCGGTGGGTGAATTTGTTTTGTCTTAAATTTAGACTAAGTTGCCAACTTTTATTGCCAAGAGAAGAGTATAAAGAGGAATTCCCTGTTCTCCGAGGAATATAAACTCCTCAACTCCCCTTCCCATCTTTTCCTTTTCAGAAAATAGTGGGTGAGAAGGGAAGGCATAAATATAGCCACTTTCATCCGACGAAACGTGGAAATTCTACTGCATGCCCACTATACGTGAGGTCGTGGTGTTGCACCGGGCGGGTATTAAAGAAATAACTCACGCTGCCGTCAAAAAACACGATTAGTAGAGTTCTGCTTTTTTACAGTGTCAAAACAGGACCGACATCCTAAGCTAAAACAACCCAAACAATGTTGAACAGTGAGAAGTTATTCGACTTGACTACTAAATTATAAACATTTGTGCATTATTTTAAATTCGATAGAATTACCATAAAGTTTAGCTGTTTAACCGACTCACGTGCTGCAGTTGTCCTGTCGGCTGACATATAAATATGTATGGTGTGCAGGCGAGCGGTTGGGGCATATGCAATCGCTGGCGGGGCTGGCTGCCGTGCTGTCGCGCTGTGCGGTGGCGCCGGGGCCCAGCACACGCCGCACCCCGCGCGTCACCCCCGCCTCTGACATTGTGCAGAGCGTCCGCGGCGGCCTGCCTCTGCGCTTCATACCGCGAACACAAAAACCTTTGTAGCGGCATTCAGAGGAGGTGATTGGTTTTTGTTTACGACAATACTGTGATACATGTAATGTTGACTCGTTTCCGTAGATCCAAGAAACACGAGTTTATACATAAAGTTTAAAGTTCAAAAATGTATGGGGATGGTACGGATTGTTCGATGGCGGATGATCAAAAAGATTAGTATTATATATTTGATGAAAGTTGTGTGATGTATGTATGTATGTTTATGTGTGGGTATAATTAGGTCAGATATTAGAAGATAAGAAACTTTTCCGCTCCCAAGAAGCTGATGTCGTCTCGTTATGTAGTAGAGTATAGTGTGGTCTGGTCTGAGGACTATTTCGGCTCCAGGCAGCTGCCCCTGTTAATAACAAGCACAAAATTCACAGGAAAGCATTAAAGGCGCAGCGACGTCTTGCAGGCATTTTTGCAAACGTTACGCTTACTTACATTACGTATTTAGCATTATTAGGGTGAGGTTACTGGAAAGTCCCGAACTTCTGTGAATCCTTCGATTTACCGGTAAAACTGAATATGTACTGACTTGTTATCGTAAGAGTTATGTGATCTGTTGCTTTCGAGCATTTACTATTCACTTAGTACATTATAAGATTTATTTCAAATAGCAGGGAAATAATCGACAAACAGTTGTTGTTAACATTACGTTTTTATAAGAATTAAATGATCTTAATAAAAATACAATGTTTGTTTACTGTATGCCGACATTTCCCCTGTTTTTTAGAATATCAGGTCTTGAGAATTATAAAGTAAATGATAGTAAATGCTCGAAATAAACCAATATCATATCAACTGTATGAAATTTTAGCATAACTAACTAGGGTGACGCGACGATCCGAAGTTGTCCTTGCCCTCCGAGCTTTACTTTTACCATAACTAGTTGATAAATATTATGTTCTACAGAAGCACATGTCTTATTAAAATTCTTATTAATATTTAGTGCATGAATAGTACAATGTTTATTATAACATAAAGCTATCAACATAGAAGTTGTCTTTATCTGTATTTCGTGATGTCAATTTAATTCTCGCGCGTCACACACATACATATGTACACATAATAATTACTATATATTTTGTTATCATTATATGAACATGTAACAGAGGGACATTTCATTTTAATGAGAACATGATACTGTTATGTCTGAGATCAATAAATTTTTATAAAAATATTTTACGTTTTTAATTTTAATGTTCCGCGCATACAATGCACAGTAATGGGAAAACAGCAAATACATTATAACTTAGAACAATGTGGGGAAATACACGTTTTTTTAACAAATATAAATTTGTTTTTTCCTTATTTAAAGGATTCTTTATTAAATAGCGCAAACTATACTTAACAGGGTTTATGGTAATTAGCACTCTAGCCAAAGTGAAATAAAGGCTAAAAAGTCTTTCAGCGCATTCTCTCGTTAATGAAGATGTATCTGAAACTGCATTTTCAAATAAATGATAGTAAAAAAGCAAAGTAAGATAAACAATTTTTTTCTTACTATTTAAAACAGTTTGTCTTCGTATCGTTCCTTGTGTCGTATTACCAGAGGCACAATGTCAAGGCATGAGTACGGGGCAAGCTTTTTTCATACTATTAGAAGGCAAACGAGCAAGCGGCCACCTGGATTCGGCAAAATAGCGACAATTTTGATTAACATGCTTGAGAGAGCGCTTTTCGCAGGATAACAGTGACGAGCAGGGAGCCGTCTAGGGTGCGAAGTGACCGGGCAAGTTGTTACATCGCCACATCGTTACTTGTACGGACTATACTACTACTCTACTCATGTTCTCTATTTGTGTGGCATTTATGTCGTCTCACCGTCAAATTATAAACGTAACACAAACTTCCGTTGCCATTCTGCTACATTGATGAATGATCTACGCATGATGATGATTTCGCTTAGGTAAATACTTACTTCCTTATTTTAATATTATAAATGCGAAAGTAACTCTGTCTGTCTGTCCTTCTTTCACACAAAAACTACTGAACCGATTTAAATGAAATCAGAGCCTGGGAAAAGAGATAGGCTACTTTGAAAAAAAGGAAATTGTAAGGGGTTGAAAAGTTGTTTGGAAATTTGAATGGAAGTATCGTAATTTTTACAGGTCTATGTGAATGTTTTTTTGACTTTAATATCTTTTGTTGTTATATATTATAAGTGTTAATAAAATAAGTAGCTTAACTATTAAAAATGCTAACTAAATACAGTTCAGTTAAAACAAAGTTCACGCGGATGAAGTCGCGGGCACAGCTAGTAAAGTTATAATTTTATCAATCGGATAAAACAATTTTAGGTAGTAAGTTAGGTATTATTTGTATAATAGCGGAGAATTACTCGTTTATCTGATAATTTTTGTTGCACTAGCGTTGTTAGTGCGCCTCCCGCGGGACGCTGGCGGCGGACGGAAGGGAAGGGAGCAAGGAGGAGGCGGGAAGGTCCGGGACAAATGGCGCGCTCTGTCGCGCCGGTGCTGGAATCACGAGGACTGGCAATTTATAGCCGCTCTTAATTACTGACACCGAGTGTGCGCCGGATGCCCGCACTCCCCTCTCGCAATCGCACCTCGGAGTCGCAATCGCAGCACTGTCACTGACGACTGTTGCACCCCCCCCCAACCTAATGTATATGATGTACATAATCTTACTTTTTACTAATATTGTAAAAGAGAATGTATGAATGTATGGATCGTGTGATGTCGTTTCGTGACAGTGCTGCAGCTGCGTGAACAATGTCACCACATTATAGCTTCGACAATAAAACATCTTGCTAAAGTTTACTGCGCAAGTAATATTATCGACTGTCACGATTCCTCGCTTTTATTTAAAATATTGTAAATGCAACGAGGCATAAAATTATACAAACAATTTATCAATTGTTACACTGTAGAAGATACTTTCTTACGCCATCATAGAAATATTACGTTAAAGTCACTATCTACTTGTCTTTCAAGCAGACGGCGAGTAAGCGTACGGACTAGACGCGTACGAGCCTCAATAAAGGTTGAAAAGAAAATGCAGCGGTTGGGGGTGGCGACAGGGCAATGAAATGAGAAACAAATGCGACCCGTCGCAACGGTTGAGTTACGAGGCAATCCCGCGCCCCGCGCCCCGCTACAAGCCCAAAGTCGCGCGCGCCGCTCCCTGCCCCGGGGACTCGTTCGCCTTTAGCACCACTACCTCTCAAATTGATAAACTGATATAGTTGGATCCAATCACGAAGCTTCTTCGGCGAAATAAACCATTTTTTTTATTTGTAACAAGTAACGGCTTCATAATTTGTATATATCTATAATAATATGATATAACAGACACTATGTAATTACATATGTACACGACATTGTTGTTTACAACCACAATATACAGTAAAAGTAAATAGACAGTATCCTGGAACCGGGTAAGAGATAAATGAATACAAGTAAACAATTGAACTAAATTTAAAATTAAAGAAGTTTACGAAGGTTTACGCAGACTTGAAAGTCGCGTCGCCACACGCACCTCCCAGGAGAAAGGTCAAATATATAATATGTAAATATTACTATTGAAACTTTGAAATAAAACTTGACCACTGCTACATACTAATGCGCTGTCTTCTCAATCATGTTATTTACACTTCGTGCATACATACATTGTAGCAATTTACAACAAGAAAGTGTTACTACAATATTAATGTTAAAGACATCACAAATATTGAAGCGACAGCTAAACAAGTGAGGCGCAAGAGTTGACGGCAGTGAGCGCGCTTGACGCGGTTCTTGTAATTAACAGCAGCTATAAATCGCGCGCGATCCGGCAGCGAGCGCGGCGACAGAATGCACCATTTGTCCTCCGCAGCTCACCGCTCCGCAGCTCGCCGCTCTGACTCAGATCTGTACAATACTAACTCATTTAAAACGATATTTAAAACTAGCTCAAGAAACTTTAAACCACTTTAACACTTAACGTTCACTCATACAATAAAAACTTGGCTGTTCCCACTGAAGCGGAGTAAGTCTAGTGTCTATAAAAGTTTATGCGTTTGGAATGGATAGCCAATGTAAGTTTATTGTATTCATTTCAAATATAAAATGAATTGTTCCTGAAAGCACAATCTAGTTGTTATTTGACTAACCCACAAACGCAACGTACCCGAACGTACCTCTCGAAAATAATTAGCTCCAATAATACAATCTTTTAACAACTTATCACTATTTTAAATATCCCTTTAGTCTTGAGAAGAAGTGACTACTTACGGTCTCTAGAAATAATACCTTTTTACCTGTCTCAAAGAGTTTTCAAATGAGGGGTACGAGTGTCGGTCGAGTTGTAATCAATATAATCTTTTTAAATTAATGTTTATCAAAGTCTAAAAAGACAAGAGAAGCAGCAACAAATCATTGGCATAAATTTTATCCGCCGCGGCCATTTGCCTGAGGTTAATTAAAAATTGCTTAATAAAATGGGTGAACGTATAACGGCGGCGAGTTCTGCTCACTCTGCTATAAGTGAGGGTTGGACAACAACAACGAATTATTATTGGCGAACACGTTTCGCTTCTAATGAAGCAATTAATTTTAAAAACGATTTACCCATGAAAAATTGATTAAGTAAAGTTTTAGCTCACACAAGCGTATTATGTATTGCTACTTGATGCACGCACCAGCACGAGCATAGATCACAACAAGAGCATAGATCGCAACTGGGCGCACTACAAGCAGTGCAGCATTCTACGTGCAAGTATATGTGTATGATAATATGAAAATAAAGCATTTACTGAAAGGCAATCTACAATCCGCACCTACATATGTGCACTTAATCATTGTTAATCAATTTTATAAATATACATATATGTCCTAAATAAATATTTTGAAATGTAAATGACAACAGTTAGGCCGCCACCGACCTAATACAAGCTACGTAACATTAATTTGTACAAAACAAATTTTGTAGCAAAATTCACAGCTGACCTCTTGTTTAATAGCGTGCATTATCTAAAATTGTAATACCACAGACTGAAATTTAGAGAGCAATTAGTATCCATGCTCGCCGGCGCTCAGTACGTATGTACATATATCCCGGTATCTGGTAATCAGATCGGCTGCAGATTGGCTGCGGCGGCCGCTGCCACTGTGACGTCACACCATTGCTAAACAACCCACAGTACCAAATGTGCAGCAGTCACGCTGCCGGCCTGCCTTTTGCATTGCTCACGATGTTATCACGCGCAATTTGCCACTCAGCCCACTCCGCGCCCCTGTCACCCGACCGTGCTCTTAATTGTTAACTAAGCTCGAGAAACTGATTAACATTGTCAAAATGAATAAGAATTGCTGTAGGCTACGAACTTTCTGTACAAAAATGTTAGCAAGGTTGTTCATGTTTCAGCTAATTTTGTTGTAGACTATGTTCATGTAGCGGCTAGAGAAGCGATGCGCACGGTGCGCGCTCCCGTCTCTCCGTGCTGTGCCCTGATGTGTTTGGGTTGTCCACATTTTTCGATTATTTATCGTATTTATTGCGCTCATGTAACAAAAGGAAATTGGCTTTTTAACTTTAATATGATAATTCCAAAGGCAAGGCGGAGCGCGGTAAATAGAAAATAAGTGTTTTCAATATGGCGGCGTCGGTTGGCAAGCCTCCTTCGATAACGTCGTAAAACATTCATCAGGCGGCTGGCTGGCGGTGAGGCGGGCAGGCAGTGAGGGATGCCGCGGGACAGGGGACACCCTCTAATTCAATATGTCTTCAAATTCTCGATCAAGTAAACGCGTGGTGCTCGCGGCGACTGCCTGCAATATACCAAACATAATGTACAAACACATGACAAACATAAACTCCGCATTTTTTAAATGATTTCTTGTTAATATAAGTAATGCTTCGTCGCTAACGAGAGAAACGGATTTAATTATGTTGTTGTATTTTGTACAACGTATAATATGGATGAACAATGTTCTATAATACGAGTAGTACAATAAAACAATGTATTATACATATATTTTTTATTGCTTTAATGCAATAAAAAAATTACGCATTATTTTTAACTGCTTTATATGTACATTAACTTCTTTATTATTTTATTTAACGGTTTTTTTTAGATCGTATTGATAAGCTTAATTTTGAATTAAATGTCGATAAGGAAAAAAGTATATACGTTACGAATATCGGCGCT